TCTCAATCTCAATCGTAAATATCATACATTTGGAGAAGTTGGTGTTTACTAAACATACGTGAAAATATGTCCAGCAGACTTTTTCCATTGGTGACCACACTGGACCGAAATGAATGGCTAAATCAAAAACTGTTCTGCATCTGTCTGGTTGGTGTCCTGTTTGGTCAGAAATATTTAGACACGGTTTTATTTGACAGACGTGGGAGAAGGATCTTGTACCTAACTAAAAGTAAAAGTACCAGAGTGTTGGAATACTCTGTTACAAGTAAAAGTACTGCAATTAAAATGCTACTCAAGTAAATGCACAAAAGTATTGGCATCAAAATAGTACCAAAAGTAAAAGTACTCATTATGCAGATTTTAGAATTATAAACATTATGTCATGTTTTGATTATAATTGTTGACTCATCAATATGTTAATCTGCAATGAAACAACTGAAACGTTGACATTAAATGTATCATGTCAACACATTTCACATAACTGTATTAGGTTCATTCAAAGCAATAATATTAAGTTGAACCTACTTTATATTGTTCAGTTTTGTCAGTGAAAGCTGCAACATGGAGCTAATTAAAATGTTAATGACTTTGTATACAGCAGGGTGGCTTGTGAATTGACTCCAGGTGTAACTAAAGTCTGATTAGGTGTTGAAATATTTCATATCATTAATCCCAGTCTGCAAAGTAACTAAAGGTATAAAATAAATGTAGTGGAGTACAAGTTTACTAGTAACCTCTGAATTGTAGAGGTACAAAGTAGCAACAAATTAAAATACTTAGAGTACTAGTATTTTAACAATTATATTATAGTAAATAGTGTACTTGAGTAAATGTACTTAGTTACTGTACACCACTGCTAATTCAGCGCATTAATCTGAGTCTGGTAAGGGTTTCGCAGTTATTGTCCTTGGGTGGCGGGAAAATTCTCGGCACTCGCTATTTCTGGATTGGCCTAAGACACCGGGTAGACAGTCATCTTCCCAGTCAGGGGAATGTCTGGGTGAATTCCTCTCCCCTAGTTTGGGGAATGACCCCCTGCCCTTTAACCCACAAATCTTCAGGTCCACAGGTCCTTTAGTGCTGGCGTCCAAGATGGCCATGCATTGACGTCAGAGCACTTTGGTAGAGAAGAGAGAGAGGCCCCGGTTCCTCAGTCACGTTCATGTGTGATCCTTTAAACAGTAACCCTGTTGCGCAGTAAATTGGACTTACATTTGTCATGCCCTCGGCTGTTGACAACATGAGGCCAAATACAAATCTGACTAATCTAAAACAGACTGTATAGGCTATATATTTTTCTTGAGGTTGTCGGGTTTCTTTTTGGTCAGTTGTGATTTTTTAACATTGAATTATTATAAAGACCTTTTTTTTTGAGTGAACAAGCTCAGCAAATATCCCTTTTTTTTTTTTTTACAAATGCAGCACCGTTATTACGCTTATTGAATCACATAAGGAATACAAAAAATAACAAAACTCACCAACAGAAACCAACCTAGACAGAATACACCACACAAAGGTAAATTTTTTCCAGAAATGAATCAGCGTTGCTTTGCTGAGTATTGCCTGTTGCAGACACGTACAGTACATTTATCATGGTGGGTCTTGTGGCTCTTGCCTACACCTCTCACTCTCCCTCTCGATTTAACTCCTGCGATCCCTCCCACTCACACCCACTCGTTCTCTCAGCGAGTCTCCATCCCTCTCTGTCCCTCACAGGCTGCTGCAGTCAAGAGGATGAAATCACTCCATCAGTGAGTGGAGCCTCGCTGTCACTGACATCAGACAGCTCCGGAGAAGGCCGTAATTAAACAACTCAAGCTCTGGTAATTACCCTACAGTGGCCCTAATTACCCCATTCTCAGGGTGATTACAGCCCAAAGGGGGAGGGGCACAACTACAAAAAGCCCTCCCTGTGTAGGTTCAAGGGGGTAGGAAGGATGGCAGTGAAAAAACCTTTAATCCAGTCTCACTTTGGAAATGGAGGAAATGAGCAGGGACACAGAGGGCTCATGTATTTGAAGGGGGGGGGGGACAGGAAAACCAGCTGGAGGAACAAGTGGTGTGAAAATACACCAGAGCATCCTTTAACACACAGTGTTGGGGGTAACGCGCTACAGAGTAACGCGCTACAGAGTAACGCGCTACGGAGTAATACGCTAAAAGTAACTTTTGTCTGTAATGCAGGAATTGATTGTTGTTGATAACAGCATAATTATTACAGTAACTAAGCAGGAAATGTTCTTGTTACTTGCGTTACTTTAAGGTCTTGAGCTGCCTGCGTGACAGGAGGACAGAAAAAGTAAATCAAACGTCCCTTTTAGCTTGCGCTACACTCGTGAGTTCATGGATTAGGAGACAGAGTTGCACAGCAGAGATAAACAGGCTTGTTGCCGCGTACATCGTGGAGGAAATGTTGCCCGTTTTGACGGTGGGATCGCCATCTTTCCGAATCATATCGAGCAAGATACAGGTAATGGACAGCTACCTGGACCAGTGTCATGGAAACTGAGCTAAAGAGAACTGATGATCAAACAAAGAGCAGAAACAGAGGTCTGTGTTCAGTATTATCCTTTTTACATTAAGCATGTGCTGATCTGGAATAAATGAGGTATGACTTTATATGGTTATTTATCATTTGATTTATGGTGCATCTCCGGTGATGTTAACAGTCCTAAAGTGACGTCACTAGCAGTGTTGGGTGTGACGCGTTACAAAGTTATCACATTACATTTTTCGGAGTAATGTAACGCGTTACTGTTATAAATTCAGTAATCACACTACAGTTACTAACATTGCGCAAAAAAACTACTAGATTCTCCCTTTGACAGACTAGACTCTAGTAGTTACTACATTATTTAGAAGCCTACAGTAACTTTGGATAATAACATGGAAATAATAAGAGGAGCTTCTCTATCTCTCTCTCTCCTTCTCTCCCTCTCCTGACAGCGCGTCTGTATCAGTCTCGCAGCTCGCTGATCCAGTGAATGAGTGACCCGAGATGACAGTAAATAATAAACATATTTATAACTAGTTTAGCTAGTTCCAGGGGTAGATAAGATTGGTAAATGTGATAGGTCTAACTTTTTTTATATTTCTAGTCACTTTAAGGATTTCCGCCGAAGGTTTATATTTGCGTAACATTTGCGCGACTTGTCCACATGCAACTGTCACAGGGATTGTGCTGCAGAGACATGGCTGAGTCATCAACAGCTATTACTTTCGAGGGGTGGAGGTATGCCCATTATTTTACATTTGTAAGAAGAAAGAACAGGAATGTGACGGTAAGGTGCACTGCTGCAAACACAACATCAAACCTCTCAAAGCACCTGCAAAGGCAACATGCTAACACGAAGCTAGTAGCTGAAGGCCCCCGAACCCACAGTGATGATGTTCAGTGTGTGCCGACTCCGAACAAGCAGCAAAAACTAGAATTGTCACCGTTATTAACTTGTCTTATGTCTTCCTTATTGCAATAGTAATTGTTACATGTGTGCCTACGTTTTAAGTTTTGGCTATAGGCTGTTGCTGAGTAACGCAAAATTAATGTAAAGAGCAGTGGCGAGCCGTCAGGCCCCTCTAGATATTGAAGATATTCCCAAAAATTATATTTGAAAACATTAAAAAAAAAAAANGGTTTTTTAGCAATTCTGTACGTATTTCGGTTTTAGACCTAGTTTCGAGTAAAAGTCCAAAAACCTCCTAGTGCTGTTTTTCTATCCTTAAGAACACACGCGCACTCTGCACGGTCTTCAGAGCCAATGTGTCTCTAGATAGACAACACAATACATTGTAAACGAATCACACAGAGAGAACAAAAATATTTTCTCATCCTACGCGCATCGACATCGCTCTTCCGCGCGCTATCGAACGCACACTCCACTCTCCGATCAACCACCAAACACACATTAGAGACACTCACAGGCATGAGCTCTCTCCTCACTCCATAACTCATAATGAAGATTTTTTTTTTTCTTTTCTATGCAATGAAGCAATGACAATATCTATTTTCCTTGAGCAATTAATGAGCCGCGACCATGGTCACGCTCTGCCTGAAACCCATATGTCGGCGGGCGGCGATGTCCAATTAGCCAATAACCAACCGGTAGCCCCCCCCCCACACACACACACCTTATCACCTGAATCTCCTCCTAGAGCAGTGGGGTGTGGCACCTTATTTTCATCTAAAGTAACAGACAGAGAATCAGCACTTTTGAAACAGGGCTGAAACAGAGGGGATTATGGGAAGCTACAATGATCTGTTTGGTATTTGGAGCCAAACACTTCAGAGACATGTTTTGTATATATCTGAGACCTATAATATATTGATGAAAAATAGTATAATAGGGGACCTTTAAGTCACTAGTAATGTGTAATGCAGAGTAACTACCAAAAAGGTGTTTGATTGTTAGAATAAAGGCTATGCAGAGATTACACCGGTAACAAGAACCACAACAAGACAGAAAGCTGTTCTCACCGATGTTCCTCACACCTTGAAACTTTGCCAAAAGGTTACAGTCTATGGCGTCCATCATGCCGTGTTCAGGAGAATATCTTACACAGATCAGCGCATCTCCTCTCTGTCTCAGCATTTTTAATACAAGAGGGGCAATTCTGCTCTAAGCACATCTCCCCCCT